GATGTTATGTTATTGCATTGTATATCTATACAATATACAATATACAAGATATATCATTATATATCTTGTATCTAACAAATAAAAGATATTTATAATTGATGTATCGTTACAAGATATTGTTAGATTTAGCTTATTACGTAATAACGTAAGAAGGAAGGACCATAAGTGGGGTCTGAATAAATTAAGCGACCGGGTATTGCATCGATCTCACAACTTTTTACTGTAGAACAACTCAGTTGTTGAACTTGTTTTTTTTTACAAGTTTTGTTTTTGTTTGCACTTTATCAGATGTTTTACATGAATTTTCAATTTGTCAGATATATTAATTAAGAGTTTTTCTTAAATGTAGAATTGGTAATTGATCTCAAAAAAACTTTGATAAATGTTTCACAAAAGGCCAATAAATAACAGATTTGTCTACAGGTATGTTGTTGTAGACGGGACTTTCCCCCTAAAACCGCACGGTACACAACCAAACACGTCCGCCTTTAAACGGCTTTTCTCTCCCCTTTCTCGTCCCTCGGTCCCTCAGTTCCTCACAAGTGGGTCCTCGCGGCGTTTATAATTTGAACTCAATTTTGAGCAAATAGTTCCTCGATTGGTTATAACTTAAGTACTTTACAAGTGATAGGTGCTGGAATCAATTGCCTTCGAGCATGGTTTGTGATCATCGGACTGTTCTTGTTCTTCATTTCGTACTTATTGTCGTTTTTAAGTGGATATAGGATACCTATGTTGTGTCTAGTTGAAGAATGCTATTTTTTCTTGTTTGTTTTTGTGTTTTGTAAGTCGACGTGTAGATTTATGAGTTTACTAATGATTATAAAATATGTTCGATTAATTCTGCAATATTAATAAATATTACCGATTTGTTTCGTCACCTGTATGATATAACTGCTTTCTTTTTTATTAAAATTGTAAAAAGCCAATTAGGTACCTTATTTTCAGTCTCATATGGCAAGTTCAATAAAAATTGTACCTAATTTCTACAAAATTTGTTGTGTTTTAAATAAAAAATTGTGCTTCTACATCAGTAGATGCAAACGCTAGAGCTTCCGACACTGAGTCGCCTCATTTTATATCAATTAGACTAAGATTACACTTCTTAAAGTTATTCTAATACAATGCAGAAATGATACCTACACATGTCCATCTGGCAGTCAGTTCCCTAGTGAAGCTATCTGCATCTTACAATGTCGGTGGTAGTTTCTATGGAGACGAACGATCAAAAAACTCCATGGTTACTTTTTGGCAATTGGTATTCAGTGTCACAAATTAGTATTCTTTACGGAACAACCCACTAAGCACATACTAACAGCTCTTCATATTTACACTTTATAAAGAAAAATGAAATGAATTTTTAAACAGGATCAAAATAACTTTTTTTATAGCGGTATTATACTACTTAGTACAGTACATCACCCTGTTAGGGCGCAGCAATTCAACTTATAAATAATAACTAAATAATCATCTAATTTTTACCTGTACACGTAGAAAAGTGTTATTTTCGTATCTTCTATCTGACCCTGAGAAGAAACACAGAAACAGTCTAAAGAGTCTTTTATATAAAAAGTAATAATATATTGGCTGTAAAAATATATCTTGGTCTGAAATGAACAAGGACTGGCCATAAAATGGAACTTCGTTTTTTTTTATTTATGAAACTTTTCAAATATGGAACGCTTACGTGTTACATAAAGAAAACCCAATATTAAATTAAAAGACTTTGTGAATAAAATGTTATCAAAGTTACTACAAATAAGAGTACATAAAGTGCTACTAATGTAATTTTATTCAGGTTTAATTTCAAGCCTGCAAAACAATATCACTGTAAAAAATGTCAACAATCAGAACCACTCAAAATCCGCTAATGAAAAACCTAGAAATTAGAACTTAATTAAATTAATAATTTTTAATTAAAGATTTTTAATTAAAAACGATCAAATCAAATTATCGATTATTCTTTTTCGATTAGTGATCCCAATCAGAAGTATTGCATCCCCGCGTTATGCATTAGTCTGTTAATTTTTATTTCTAGAACAAACTAGTTAGCATGAATTCCGCATATGAAATCACCAACACGACCATGCAGATTTCAATTAACGTTCGTAATTAAAAATGTAAGTAGAGAGAATAAAAAAAATATAGTATTAAGTAGTAGATTAATTTATGCCAGTCGATAAGCCTATTTATTATAGGTACTTGCTGTACGATTAATTCTCTTAATATCCAATGGCCGAAGTAACTTTGATAAGCACAACGATTTTATTACTTATTCACTAC